TCTAGCTGCACTTTTCTAGCTTTCAATCGCGAGTGTCTTTGATCTTCTTTCTTGCTAGAACAGTGTCAGCATCTTTTACGTTCTATTAAAATACTTACAAAGAAGATCTTCCCTAAAAATCCTTAAAAATCCTTAAAATCCTTAATATCCTAATCCTTAAAAATTCTAGATTTCTGAGGAATGCGAGTCGTGAAAGATATTGCTCATACAAAACACGTAATGAAGGAATAGTTCGTTGCTGGATTAAGGCAAATGGGCAAATAAAATGTAGGGTCATTAGTATTTTTTTAGTCCAAAGAGGCTTTGATACTGAAGGACTATTGTTTTCGTTTTGCGATTTTGCGTTGAATCACTATAAATGTCCGTTGCACTCTTCAAACTGTTGCCACCAAATGTTAGAGTCCTGCATTATATTTGAAGAAATTAAAAATGAAAAATCTGCATAAATGTATGTCTATTTCTCGCATTGTGATAAAACAACGGTACACAGAGCCGTCGAATTTTGAATGACGTAATCCTACTGCGAATATGTGCATCTGGAAGCCCAAATTTGAAATTTGGAATTTGTTTCATTATCGATTTCGCATTTTGTAAAATTTTAACGAATTTTTGAGTAACAAACTCAACGATTTGAAAGCGAGCAAGCAACAATCTGCGGAGAGGGGAAAACTTTCTATCTCCAGCGGGCGTGGAAATGCGTATCGGAAATTCAAAAGATAGGCTGATTTAAAAATTATTTTGCGACATTGCTACTGAACTGAATTTTTATGGTTTAAGTGCAAAGAACATGATATTTAATAAAGGTAACACACAAAACGTTATATAAACACACCCCTTTGGACGTAATTTAAAATCTAAAACCTTTCAGATTTATTTTTATTTAATTGATTATTATTTTTTTAAAGCAGGAGACGTGAAAAATGTGGAATGTCTTCGCAGTGACTCGAACCTGATTTAATGAACCTAATGACTCTCGAATACGTGCCGAGTGTATTACATCACGAAGGTATGCTGGAAAGAGGGAGGGAATATCTTACATACCCCCTCTCTTAAAGGGCGTCTGGGGATTGTAGGATTCAATCGCCAAATCCTGGTGGTGACGAATTATTGTCCACCACCTGTCATTATAGAGTCATTAGGTAGCAGGGACAGGAAAAATGTGCATTGCCTTCCCCGGGACTCGAACCTGGACACTCTGTACTACGCGCCGAATGTGCTGCCATTACAACACGAGAGGCATACTGAAAGGACGGAGAAAATACCTTACGAAAAAAAGAAAACACAGAAGTAATTGGCGATGCAAAAATCCCGTGTTAAGAGGCGGTTTGAGCGAGAAATAATTTTAGTCGTCGAAAATTGGAAGCAGGGATTTTACCCGAGCAAAAGAACGAACAGCAAAATAGAATAGGCATTCTTATCACAGTTATATTCGTTTCCTCTAATTTGGAAATAAATTGTTGCGAATCGCTCATGCATTTTAGTGTTAATGATCTAGATTAGCGATCTCCAAACTTTTTAACTGCTTACCACTAAGATGAAAATAATAAGTTGTATGAAATATAATGTAACGTAATGTAATATATGCTTAAGATTGCAATGAGATCACCTCGAACTCATGTGATCCACGATCGAAAACTTGATCGTGAATTTACTTCTATGGTGGATCTCTAAATGATCGTGAGTGTACTCTTTGACGTAATCCACCACTTTGGAGACCACTGATCTAGATCAACACGGAGTATACGAAAAAAATCTAAAACTCCTAAAGAGTTAACATCATTAAAATATGAATAAAGTATGAATGAGATAAATTCAGAAACAAACAAATAAGCAAAAAAGAGAAACTTTTTTTTGAAATTCTGTTATTCTGAACTGAGAGAAAGTCCTGTTTTTCGACGTGTGTGAAAAGCATAACATATGTATATATATATATATGAATCATATATCTTGTAAATATTTATAACACACGTCCTTACAATAATCATTTCTGTCCGAAATAGTTACTAATCCTGGTTCAAATCGATAATCAATTACGATTATGTTCTTTAACACAGGTAGTCAATTAAAATGACAGAATACACATATAGTCAAAAGAATATTTCAGATCATTCAGTATGCTTAAAAATAATTTAGGCTAAATCTCGTTATAAATTGCCTAAACATAAAATTATCTGAATAACTCTCAAGTATTTCCAAATAATCATCAGCAACACATTATAGCAATTTACTAACAGTGAATGCATTATTCATTCATCTTTGTAATACTTAAAATAGCACAGACATAGCTAGAATTATTTTTTGCTCCAAGTCAGTCTAAAACTGCTCTTTATTTTACATTATATATAAGAAGAGGGTGACGTTTATCTGTAGGGCATGTTCTCAAATATTTCAGCCTAATTTTGGCGAATTACCTTTCTGAAAGTTTATTAGCTCTTTAAACTTTTATAGTCCTGAAGTGTAGTCGTATAGTCTCATCAGGCGAATCATGTTCCCAATTAAGCAAAATCCGCTTCACTTTAGGCAGTTGTTTGAAGCATAGAAACATAGGAGCTAGAATTCAAGACTGGATGAAACACAGTCTTTTTTTTTTTTTTTTTTTTTTTTTTTTTTTTTTTTTTTAGTAGCAGACGGATATAATTGTTTTTTTCTCGAAGGGAATTGTAAAAAGCATCAGAATGGGACAGATGTATCTTTCTCTTCTAACTCTTCTTCTTAGCTCTCAGAAATATTTATAACTCTATCATCAAGATCGTGTTCATTCATGTCAAAATGATGACAAACAAAACTATTCGTATCTTAATTTATCTTCTTTCCTCTTCGTTCTTCATCTTTTGTCTCTCTTCTTTCTTTATTTTGCATAAAAAACAGTCCTGCAGGCCTTTCTACTATTCATCTCTCTCTCATTTTTCCCCATTTTTCCCTTTCTTCAGCAATGTTCTCACTATAAATAGTGTTTATTAATTATTCATCAACATTGACACTTCCCGCAATCACGCTTCTATCTTTCTTCGGTGGTGATACAACTTTCGAAGCATATTTTTGAAACCAATCAGGAAAAACTAACTATCGCGCGGGGGGGGGGAAGCAAAAGGGATGCAAATACAAGTGCATATTTAATCTTCCACTACAGAATTTTGTCTTCTCGGTATACCTTCTAGCAAACAGAGGGAAACAAAGATGAATTCATGAAGAATGATGATATGAAACCTTAAAAAAATGATAAGAAACCTTAAATTTAATGATATGAAACCTTAAAAAAGTTCTTATTGTTCTAATACCAAGTCTAAAGGAAAATTCTATTAAAACTCAAACCGAAAGTGCACAAGAGAAGGTAATTTAAAAGATTAAACTTTCATCAGTGAGCCAATTTTCGAAGACATTTTTTTTTTCGTAATTCCAGATCCGGTAGCTGTTTTTACAGCTCTATCCAAATCTCCATTAATAAAGATATTTTTAAATCATTAAATAGTATAGAATCCTCATAAGCTAATTATAACTCTTAAAAATGCAATTTGGTCATTTCATTTTGCAATGAGAAGCATTCACAGAAATAATCATAATTTCTTTTGATCAAGATATGTTTGTCCTTAAATAATTTTTTTTTTTTTTTTTATTAATGGGCAGATCACCTAGAAATCTTTCTAACGGACAACTGCATTTTTCCAATCTTTATTTCAAACGAGATGACAATAATGCAATAACCTCGCAGAGTACCTCATCTTCACAGATGTTAAGTTGCTACATAACAACACCCACTATATCAGCAGAGCTTGTCAGTTTCCTTTTAAATATCATAGTACATAAACACTTATTTTATTCTGTTCTCGAAATACAATTATCATACAAGTGTCTCAGAAAATATTCATTAAATTATATAAAAATCATTTCCGGACTTTTGCTAGAAACAGATTTTAGAATTTTTAAATTTAGCACAGTCTTTCAATATACTCACAATTTTTCAATATACCCGCAATATACTGCGAATTTATTTCAAAGATTGGCATTCAAATTTAAAAAAAAAATATAATTATCTTATTGAGAAATGTAACATGGTCATTCGGTCATAGGAAAAAAAAAAAAAAACAAGCATTACAAAGAGCTTTTCATATTTTTCTTAATTTTTTTTTTATCTTGGCTAATTTGAAACTACACAACTTCTGAATGCTGTAATCAGGCATCTTAAACTAACAGATTTTGTGTAAGATATATTAAATTTTATATATATATTCTGAAATTTTAAAAGGATACAAATGCCCCAGGGAAAATAAGACAGCAGAAGAAATGAAATAAATATCTTTATATCCTTATAAATAGAAGATAATGCATCTGAAAATGAATCACATTTAGTCTTTTCTGTTGATAATATAATAGAAGAATTTCATCAGGTAATTATATCATTTATTATACGGTTAACTGACGAGACTTCTCTAGGATTTATGATTAACTGAGATATTATATGATTAACTGATTCAGATAATATTAAGCTGAGATTATGTGATTAACTGATTGAGATTATATTAAGTGAGAAATTACATGATTAACTGATTGAGATTATATTAAGTGAGAAATTATATGATTAACTGATTCAAATTATATTAAGTGAGAGATTATATAATTAAATGATGAGATTGATAAAATTAACTGATAAGACGATGAGTTTCATCAGTTAATTTTATCATTGATTATATTATTGCTATAATGCTGTTTCGAGCAGGCTATGTTGGACCTTCCATTTACGCGTTTGAATGCATGTCATAGATTTAATAACGAATTCGAAAAATATCCCACGCGCTTGTCATGGGAATATAATGAAAAGTGAATAAAGTTTTGATATAGGTAATAATCGTGAAAAAATCATATCATTATTTTTTGCGTTCAAATTTAATTTAGACAGATGGGAATTTGGAGCATTTATAGTGTTTTAAGAAACATCATAGATAACAGTCAAAGTTACGAAACCAGCAGACACTTATAAGATATTTCTCCCGCCTTCTAAGCATGCCTTCGTAGTGTAGTGGACAGCTCGCTTGATTTGTATTCAAGAAGTCCGTGGTTCGAGTCCCAGCGAGGGCATTGCTCATTTTTCTAACGTTTCTACAGTGGCGTCCGAACTAAAACGGGTGGTGGATGATGATTCTCCACCACCAGTATTTGCCGACTGCGTTCCCTAATCCACATTCGTCCTAGGGGTAGTTTTATAAGGTATTTCTACCGCCTTCTTAGCTTGCCTTCGCAGTGTAGCGGACAGCACGCTCGACGCGAATTCGAGAGATCCGTGGTTCGAGTCCCGGCGAGAGCATTGTTCATATTTCCTCTGTCGTGCTCCGAAATAACTTAATGTTTCTACAGACTGAATCAATGTGTATGATTTTAATTTGGAACTCTGAACCTCTTTAAACGTGTCCAGCTTTGTAATTCGTTTTATGCATGACAGGTTGGTTTGGCAAATTATTACAAATTTCACACGAATATGAAAATAAGGAAACGCATTTCCAGTTGTTCAATAACTGAAAATACCAATATTAGCAAATTATACTAATATTAAATTATGCAGACATTTTCATAAGAAACCTATGACTCAGTTCAATGATGTTATTCATACACGATTATTCTTAGTATCAGCAAAGTATAATAAATCATTGTTTTCTTTTTTATTTAATTTATAGAAGAAGCAGAGTACTCAGGATTTACTTCATAGAAAGGAGTTTTTCAAGCATACAATATTTAATATATTACTTCTAAATCCAAAATTAGGTAGACTAGAACTGGAAACATGGCTATCAAACTTTTAGTTTATTTTAAAAACACATAAAATTCAACTCGTAGACTCATTCGCGTTTTCAGGATGAGACCGGTAGGGCCAACGCTTCTTCCAGTAAATCCAGACTCTCTGTACTCCCCTGACACTACACCTCTTACTCTCGTTTTTGACAAATATAGCTGTCTGACTAAAAAAGGATTTATTATTTATTTCCGGTATTGTAATAAATTAAAATCCGTCACTAGACTGTAAATAAAACTTATATTCACGTCTCTACACTACATGAAGATGTGGAAGTAATTTTACATGCATATACAAAGGAAAAGGTGCATCTATATGAGATTAAAAATTCAATGAACTTTGTGTTTCATAGAAAATGCAGTTATTTGGTGTAGTGAAATTTATAACTATTTTTAATTGAGTGAAGCATACAATGAATACAATACAATTACTATAACTCCTTACTGCATCTCATCTATAGTACGTAATCAATGCATTGCCAACGTATTTATTAGTGAAGTGTGTATTGCAATTATCGTGGGAAATTGTTTAATGCATCAAATATATGTTTTCTTTACTTTTCTCTTTTATTTTATTTATTTATGTATTTTTTTGAGTAAGATAATTTTCAGAATTGCTTGATTTATGACGCTCCGTTTCGAAGCTTACATTTTCGCTTTAGAAACATTTTTCTTTACTTAAAAGTGAATAAATTTCTGAACGATCCTAATTACTCAACCATAGTAAAGACCAGCATACTAATTAACTAAGCTTGCAATATAAAGTGGCTGGGGGGAAACAAAAAACACTTTTCAATCGTTAGATAGGATAAAACGTTTATTATTGTTCAAAAACGAAGTTAAACGGCTGAAGAAATATATAAAAATAGTTTGAATACATTATTTTTTACAATTAAATATTACTGAAGAAAGATCTTCATTTCAGAGATTTATTTTTTTCTGTAACTTTTCTGGTTACTGTGTGCACAAATGTTCGTTCACGCTATATTTTCGCAATAGACTGTAAACTTCTGTTAAAGAAATGTTTTAAAAAAATTCAGATGTTTATATTTGGGAACTTTTTGATTTAAGAAAAGCAGTTTTCATAAAAGTTACTAAATCTAAATTTTTATACTTTAATCCAGTTCTTATATTTAGTAAACATTCATATCGATTGCTTAAAAATATTTCTTTAAGGGGACTCATACACCTTAAAACCCAAAAGATGTTCGAATAGGTGACTGTTGCAAGAATTGGGATAACTTATTTATTTTAAAAACAATTACTACCAACTTTTTACAACTGACTACATAATATAGCTTCTTTCTGAAATAGTCATCAGAAAGTTTGTGTTGCCGCAAATATTTTTATAATTTAATCGTTTTGTGACAAAATTTTTCGCCATGTTTCCAACTTGCGCGCACAAGTTTAAAACATTCTGTTTCATAATTTAATTCCATATTTAATATATAGCTTTTAAACATTTGGAAACGAAACGACTTGTGAACCTAAATTCTAAAATTTCACGTTAAATTTTATTTTATTGAGTTGAGTTTATAAAATGTATTTTTATTAAAAACATTTTTAATGTTTTCGTCCATAAAATTTTTCAATATTAAAATATTCATCAGATTGTTCGTTCAGTTAGAAAATAGTGCCCATATAAAGAATTCCATCCAATTTCAAGTATGTACCATTATCCATTTTTAAAATATCATGCGCGCAAGGTGGAAGCATAGCGAAATATTTTGTCACAAAGAGGATTAAATTACAAAAATATTTGTGGCGACACAAACTTTCTGGTTACTAGTTTCCAAAGCAGCTATATTATGTAGTCAGCTGTAAAAAGTTGGAAGTAATTGCTTGCAAAATAAATAAAATATCCCAATTCTCGCAAAAGTCACACAGTCGAAGATCATGAGGGGTTTAAGGTGTATGAGTCCCCTTAAAAAAGATTGATTCCTGTACGGCAAATATTGATCCAGATGTTTATTTTTAAAATTTGGTATTTCGGCTTGCCCTGAGAGGTCAGTCAAAACATAAACTAGCTTGATATTTTTCCGCTTAAAAATAATTCAATAATATTCTTTTGTGATTTACTAGGGTATGATAATGTTCGATTTCTAATTTTAAATTTTCTTAAACTAAAATTATATTGCTAATATTCTCATCCATTTTTATTACTTTAGAATCATAATATAATAATCAGACAAAAATAATTATACTAGAGCCCACCAGCGGCCGAGCGGTAAAATCGCTGAACACTGGTAGTTCGGTTCGAGGTTCGAATTCCGCGAACGGGATGGCTACATGGGCGTTTTCTGGTTTTCCCCATGTTTAACATGTATACGAGCCAGTTCCCTTAGAAAGTCCTCCACGAAGGCATTCCTCCCTTTAGGCAGATAGCCCTAGTGTGCTTTACCGTATTCTCAGTGCACCAATACACACACACCAATATACTAGAAATATTTTTTATTTTAACTTATGCAAATAAAACTACGAGTTGTCTGAATGCTAATCTTGGAGCTTATTCTTCTAAAGTCTTCAGGAGTCTATGCATATGGTCTCCTTTCTTGAAGGAAATGTTTATTGATTAATACTTTTCACTATAATCTTCGTGGTAGTACTTCGTGGTAGTAATTTAATATACTAACATCAGTAATCATTTTCCTAAACTGATATTTCATTCCTACTTCGCATATTACTTTACTTTGCATTCTTATCTACGTAAAAAGGCAAACGTTCACTCTGAAATTTGTGTGCGACCCCTGAATATGATCACGAAGTTAAAATTTATATGTTTTCGTTAATTTTTTTTATATGACAATCAAACATTTTGTGTTTAATTATATGCCACGAGTACAATCCTCTGCTAGCTATAATTTATTTGTTCGTATAGAACATATAAAATTGTGATATCGTAGTTTTTAGCTGATTCATTTTCTTAACTCAAATATTCCAAAATATACATATTTGAGTGAATTAAATCATATTTGTAATCCTACAACTAAAAATTTCGAAACTGAATGCCATATAAAATCTTAAATCTGACACAGTATATAATTAAATGTCACACAGTGAAATAGAGTGATTCTGAATGAAAAATTGTCTGACATTAATATATATAAAATTATGCAACGTAATAATAGGTACACGAACTTTTACAACAATTACTACTTTCAAAACTTTCTGATATTTGCAAGGTATTACTTGTCGATAATAAACTGAATGAACCAAATCCATTTAATTACTTTACTTTACTCCTCTGGCAAAACAGCTGGTCCACTTGGAGGTGCTGATCAGCCTTTTCTAAACCCTGCCGGTAATTCCAATTTTGCTCGCTGACGTTGCCGTCAGTACCTAAAAAAAACGTGAATATTACTATGCAGTTCTCAAATATGTAGCATTTCTTTTAACTTAGCTATAGGAGCTAATGCTTAGCTATAAGAGGCCATCTAGTTATATAGTCAGTTGGAGATACCAAGAGCTATTTCAGTGTATTGAACGTCAGTACCTTGAAAAAACATGAATATTACTATGCAGTTCTCAAATATGTAGAATTTCTTTTAACTTAACTATAGGAGCTAATGCTTAGCTATAAGAGGCCATCTAGTTATATAGTCAGTTGGAGATACCAAGAGTTATTTCAGTGCATTGAACGTCAGTACCTTGAAAAAACATGAATATTACTATGCAGTTCTCAAATATGTAGCATTTCTTTTAACTTAGCTATAGGAGCTAATGCTTAGCTATAAGAGCCCATCTAGTTATATAGTCAGTTGGAGATACCAAGAGCTATTTCAGTGTATTTATTGATACGTCTGAGCGGATATGTGTTGCAGCAGATGTTATATACCCGTACATGTTTGTTTTCAGCTGATAGAATGTGAAGATGATAAGCACTTGCTTCTGGAAAATAAAAAATATAATGGTTAGGTCTCCGACCCTTCCATATATGTACGGCGCACTGCTTCGAAAGCTTAAGTGAAATAAATAGATCATGTATGGGGCATGCCCCGGTAGGAATTGTGTCAGTTCAGAAGTACTACTGCGTATTTTATCTATTGGACACGTGCCCACGTTGGAACATTGGGCAACGAAATGGCAGATAGCTTGGCAAAAGAAGCAGCAAATAGTACTCTAACAGCAATAACCTATTTACCAAATCCAATATCACTTTTAAAATCAAGACTTGAACAAGACTTGATTTTACAATGGAAACTCATGTGGTCACAAGATAATACGGGCAGACGAACTTTTATGTTTCTACCAAAACCAAAACGAAATTTAGTTACAACAAATAATGCAATAAC